ATGCCTGCATCCTGAATCTGAATCTAAAAAGCACACATTAGTTATACAAAGTAACCTCCTAATAGACATTCAAGTCAGGGCCGCCTTCTCTGTCACTCCTGAATAGCGGCTGTGCCCTTCCAGCCACATGAATAGCGGGAAGCCAGACACCACAAATTATGGCAACCCTATCTTCCCTCTGTTTGCAAAAAAAAAAAGGTGCTGTTTCACCACTCAAACTGGTGAGTTACCCACCATTAAAAGCTGCCTGCGAAAGTTCAAACACTAGCCCAGCCTCATCATAACCTTCTCCAAACCTCATGGTTAATTAGTCACCTGGGCTCAGGGCCTTTTGTCTCACATAGCCTCTCCATGCTAATCAAATTTAGCATAGTAGCAAATCGGGCTTGCAAAAACATTGAAAGAAAGCCGGAAAAGATTTATCAACACCAGGATCTCCCAAGACTTGAAGAAAAACCTCTAACGGACTGCCTTCCAAACTCGTATAATTTTATATATGTTCGATAAATAGCTTTTTACATTTTTGCTGTTTTGGAAACCAACCAACAACTGTTTACATTTCATGACTAAAACAATTTGTGCTTACAGTTTCCCTTTGTTGCCAGTGTCAGGAAAACTTGAGAGTGTGGGGATTTTGCAAATGCTTCTAATAGGGCAAGAGAAACCAAGAGAGGGAGTAGAGAAAAATGGAAAAAAGAACCAACAGGCCACGAAGGCGTCACTGTTACAGAGCAGAGAAAGAACTGGTGAGGATGTGCTACAATTGAAGCTGAAAGCTTGAAGAAAAGTGTGCAAAGCACGCACAGCACAGCCCATGTGCATACAATGAGACCTCCAGTGTCCAAATATTCCCATTTATCCTGTATCATAACCTAAAAATGACCTAAGTTTAAAACTCGTAAAACATGGCATGTGCAACAGATCATCCCTGCCTGATCACAGAGAAATCCTCCCCAAACACATACACCAGGCTGACTGAGATGCATCATTCTACCGAATTTCATAAAGTTGGGGTGTGTCAAATCACACCGCACAGCCCCCGTATTCCCCACAGCTTATCAAAACCATCCATCCTTTCTTGCAAAATACATTTAAAATTCTAACAACTGTTATTTAGGAGGAAACACCTTGCAAGTCACTCATATCCTCCATCCTGAAAGTATCTCCACACCTGCCTCCCATGTCTCAGCAAAGCCCCATCCTTGTTTTCACAGATGCTATGCAGAACACAGCACACAGTTATTATTCCAGAAAGGTACTATTTAGTTGCCTCAAGCCTTCTAGTTTGTACCTGCCATCTACCTTTCAATTTCCCAAAGGCATGCTCCATTGGCATCCTGCAGCTGCTTATGTGGTAGTGAAACACTTATTTTCTACAATGCAAATATCCAGTCAAAGGCTTCGTTGTTAAAGTTTTTAGGGAGTAGAGAGAGCCTCTGGGGATAAGAAAAGGAATGCTGATGCTATAGGTATCACACTGCTGGCTCTTCCCCCTGCCCAGTAATGCATACAGCCAGCTGTACCATATTATATATGAGAAATTTTTTTCTTCCTGACCTTTCCCCAAGTAGCAATCACTCCATGCCCTGAAGCAAGATACTTCCTTCTAATTCTACTATCTTTTTAATTTCTCCCTTACTCATTATGGAAAACAAGCAAGATTTTCTGGAAAATCTAGCACCTTATACTGCATTAAAATTGGTTAATCTAACATGTAGTTAAGAAAGGTATTGCAGCACACTGAGGAATCAACCTTTCTCTTTGTGAATGCCAGCAAGCAACATGAAAAGAAAATAGAAATAGGCATTTCATTAACAGTTTGAGTCAGAAATTCCCCATACACAAATCTATTAGTAATCTCTTGAAAACAGGCAAGCATTACCAGATACAATACCACTTTTTCAATAGCAATACAATGATTTTTAGAAAAAAGCCATTTCTAGATCTGCTAATTTGGCTGTGGGGACCAGATGGCAATGGATAAACATTTTCATCAAGATATACAAAGTCACAGCTGGCAAATAGCTTCTGGATGTCCTAAGTAACCCTCATACACATCGTCAGGAAAGCACATTTGGATGTCCTGAAGTTCAGGCACAGTCTCCCTTATCTCCTCTCCACGCATTTACTTGAAGATCTATACATTTCCAGTATCTCTGTTGTCCATAACAACCGATTACAGATTTGGAAGTGGTGCTGGCTTCCTGAAAAGAAGCAGCTAATATATGGCATTAGAGAAACCATGGGATTCTGTTAGTTTGATTTCCAGGAGAAAACTTTGGCTGTGTCTCCAACCAAGAGCTACAGGCGTAATCCCACGAAGCAGAGACCAGCCCCAGCAGCAGCATGCAGACACACGGCAAGAGCCGCCGCGCCGTTCAGATGCTCCTCCATCACATCGAAGCAGTGACCTGTCGTGAAGCAAAAGGCTGTTTGTTACCATGCCTGTGTTTTGTGCCAATTATGAGGCAGTTACACTGGAAAATGTCACTTTGATGTAAATCTCTTTAGGTAGTGAATGTTAAACACCACACACTGCTGGGCAGGTGTATGATTTTGCAGGATTGGAGCTCGCATCCAGGAGTAATTAGCAAGACTGTGCCAATCTTCAGTCCATGTACCGGACTGCTGGGCCTGATGCAACGGCTACACAGTAGGATATCGTAATTAGCAGAGATGCAACACACTGAATAATTGGAAAGATAAGGAAATGCCACTGAAGTTTATATAAGGGAAAAAATTTCCTTAGATCTAGACAATCTCGTGTCACCATGAAACTTAAGGCTCTTCTTTCGCGGGGGTGTGATGGAGCACAGCTATTAAAAACTGGTAATTTCCTTGTCGCTGTGATGGAGCTGTCATTACCGGAGAAGCGAGGAGGGCCTAGGGGCAGCGCCCGAGCCCCTCTGCTAGGGCAGCCGGC